AGTAGAGCAGATCCTTTGCACAAAATAATTGCTATGTCAGAGGTGGGATCTTTAATGGGTATACGGGAAATGGTATGTATTACAACAAATGACAAATGCTTTAGCCAAAAGGAAGTATAATAATGTTCTTACATTCTGTTCCACCAATCAACTGACAAGCTTTATCGTATTGTTCTCTTACCATGTTCGTCCTTCCACATCATGAAAATCAGCCTGCACTTCAGTGCCCCTAATAGATCTGAATAGTTGTCTGTCCTCCCACTGGGCATTATTAGCAGTCAGGTGTCATCTTTTAAGATTCTAGTGGCATCTTTTCGAACCTGTATAAAAGGTGTCATGATGCGACAAACTCATAATGCAAGAACAAAATGAATGATTCTCATATCCACTTCATGAAGTTGTGAGGTCAAATTTATGTGCAGTTGCACATACCAGACATATATTAAAGAAGGAAAAAGTTGGAGGCATAAATAACTTAACAGTTGTAATATTTCATATCCAATCACGATGTCTGAGAATCATGAACCTTTAAGATTTTCAATTACCATATGTCAAACGCTTTTAATTCATTTAATTACTTGCAACATTTTAATGGCGAACCAACTATTTCCTGATTGAAATATGCACTCAAAAACATTATGATCAATTTGAAACATCAGAAGGCATGGAAGTTTGATTAGATAAGCAACGAAATAAAAATGTGTGGTAATAGTCCCTTACATATAATATCCATGTACCTTTACCAACATGTGAACAATGTAAGCCAATCAACACTAAGCCTCCATCTGGTATAAATGAATCTAAAGCGTTTTTGATTTATTTACAAATGAACTCTATTTAATGTATGTTCATGTTTGGCCTAATAAACTTAAGATATGGAATTAGATGGAATTCCACAAAATCTATGACTGAAATATATCTCGAATTGAAATAAAAATATGATAGTTATCAAGAATACCTTATAGAAAGATTGAGAGAAAAAAATACAGTAGAGAGAGAAATAAAAAGCAGAATAAAGAGACAGATGGGAAGAGGAAAGAGTAAAAGAAGGAGATAGTAGATGTTAATTAAAGTGTGAGAATTTTTGTCGAAGACTTAGATTGCATAAATTTTGGGGAATTGACTTGAAATTCCATCAATTTGATGGAAATTAGTTTAGTTATGTTCAATCTCTAGAATTGATTCCATGGAATTGAAATGAAAGTTGTTTATATATATATACGAGAAATGAGAAAATAGTAATTCAATTGAAGTCCACAAAATTTTGTGGAATTAATTTATACCAAACAAAAGGTAAAAGAGTAATGGAGATATGGAAAATCTTTACCACGCATATTAAAAATAGCAGTTTTTTGACATAAACTCCATTAAACATTATTCCAATTGGGGATTGATATGTAGTATTGGCATATAGAATTTTTCACACGGGAAATTTAATGTGGATAGCACTCACAAACTGGAGGACTTCAGGATTTTGTATTGGATAATACCATTTCCCCGCACAGAAGCACTAGCCAATTTGAGTTAAAAAGGTTATATAAATGAAGAATGAAGTGTTCTCAACTTATGTCCCCCTTGCAGCCTCAAGCCATTGAGAAAAGGCTTCACTTCCTGCAATTTTCCCTGAAATAAAATTCAAAAGTCAACGAAATGATACAAGAAAAAGAATGATTGCTACCAAATTCATAATATGAGAATTAAGAAAACTGCTCAAAGTATATTCACAATTATGATGCGAATGCCAAATTCTAATTAATTAACATAATATAATATGTTAAGCATGTAGTTATATAGAATCGCATCATATGAAATGTCCAAAGGAAGACGGGAACATAGGAAACTTGCCTTCGATGAGACCAAATTTGGAGCTGAATATTGAATTAAACTGAAGAAAGTCATTGTAGTTATAAAATGCAGCTGCTGGAAGCATGTTTGGTACAAATATTTTTCTGATTAGTAGATCGAGTACATACATAGCTATTGTGGCTATAGATAAAAGATCCAACTTGAATGCTTTTCATCCTATAATCAATGATTAGTAGATCGAGTACATACATAGCTATTGTGGCTATAGATAAAAGATCCAACTTGAATGCTTTTCATCCTATAATCAACAAATTTAGGAAAAGCTATAATTCATTAATGTATTTATAATAAATTCCATCTCAAATCAACATCAATGTTCATGAATCAGGTCATGTGGCCAAAAATATGGATAAATCCGCTATGTTATTATCAGGTTTGGGAAATTATCAAGATGGTATCAGGATTATTAGAATTCACATAAGTGATGAGAAGTGGCCTTCAAAGGTCACCGGGGGAGAATAATTGTAAATAGCAACAAACATTGAGTGCAAACATTGAGTGCATTCAAAGGCTCAGAAAATATGAAAGTCACTTTAAGCATACTTGACATTGTCAAAATGAGAAATTTTGTAAGAATTATAAAGCATAAAGATGTCAAAACCCACAAAGTACTGTACTAATTAGGAATATAAAAATGCTTGAGTACTTAGTGTTCAATATTTAACAAATAAAAAATATTTATAAATATTAAGGGCATTACAGTTTGTTGGTTTGTAGAACGTAAAACCACAATCAGATCAGTTAGTATTTCTTTAATATAATGATTTTCCTGATGGATTCTGACAATCATTTTCTGAAAACACCTAAATTGCAAAATCAGAAGATACTGGTGTGCTTTATCCCATCAAAACATACACAATTATTTCTTGCAATAACAAGAGCTCTCCAACCCCCCAGACTTGAGAACCCTCAATGATATTCATTAGATCAGGAAGAATTGAATAAGAATGCAACGACCAGAATCCAACATATAAAATGCAGTTTTTTAAGTTAAAACTTAAAAAACAATGGAAACAGAATTCTTCCTGGTAAGAATAATATATGCTCTGATATATAAGATTATATGCTCTAACATATATGCTCTGAACTTTTTTGCCGGTCGATTATATGCTTTGATATATAAGATTTAAATCATTTACTATATATATATATAATCATTTACTATATATATATTATATTATATATATCTAATATATTATATATATATATATATATATATATATATATATCAAGCAGATATAAAGCAGGAAAAATATTTAAAAACAGAAAAAAAAATCAAAATTCTTACCTTGCTGTAGAAAGGTAAACTTGATTTTGTAACACTTGTGAACCACAACAAATGTTACAGGAGGGCGACTTTTTGGATTTAGAAAAGCACAGCTTGAAATTAACATAAATTAGGTGATAATTTGGTTGCAGGAAAGAAACACATGCTAATAGATAGGACATGTATAGAAAGAAACCACAATAACAATGAGGATCCAAATCTAATAATTAAATGGGTTCATCGATTTCAGCAGAATAATATTTTAAAAAATGGTAATGTTACCTTACAAATAGCTCAAATCATTAGGCTTTGCAACACATACTGCCGAAAATGGCGAAAGCTCGCCGAAATTCATGGTTGGCACGGTAACCATGAAACCTGGCATTAGGTATTATAAACGAATAGCCAGGATAAATTACTATATGTAAAAGGGTGTCTTGATGCATAAGGTTTTGGGAATTTTGAAATCAACATGGGGAAAAAATAGCAGAATTGCAAAATAATGCTTTTTTTTTAAGTATTTTATGAATGATAATGACATTTACATGACAAGGGTTTGATTCATTAACTTTGGAAGTGCATCGAAGAATGAATTCGGGACTTGTATATCACCAGAGGCAATGATATTGATAGCCATTGCAGCTTTTAAATTTAGACGCATTGCGGACGGGTTTATGCTGTAATTGTTTTACCGAATTGTCATGGAGGCCACAAGAAGGGAACCGAGGCCCGGGAGTACGGGGTTCAGTTGTTATTTATTTTAATTTATTTGGGAATGAGGTAGCTCTCTGCTAGAGAGAGGAGATGAAAAGGACTTGAGGTTTTTTTTTTCTCCTGCAGAATCAGTATTGTGAATATATATTAAGAAAAAAAAAGAAACACAGTAGCTGATAATTGATCAGCTTGACCATAAGTAGAATTGTAATATCAGTAGATCCAACGAACATGAGACAGTTTTTGTTTCAAATGATTCATTAAAACTTATATGAAGTACGTGCCGAATTCATAGAATCCATTTGGCAGTAACTAAAAATTTTAAAAGGCCATAACTTTTGACTCAGGTGTCTGATTAAGGTGATTTCTTTTTAACCCAGTCAACTTTTCGAGCTCTATGCCCTGGTAAGGATCCAAAGAGCCTTGCAACGTTTTGACCCCAAAATCATTTTATTTTGTCCTTTGTCCAAAAATTGACATTTGTCCAAAAATTGACATTTTTCGATTTTTGCAAACTTCGACTTATTTTTCACGATTAAAGCTATCTTCTCGAAATTAAAATTGCAGGACCTATTCTCCACATCATAAAGAATAGGCATTTGAACCAACAACACATTAATTAGGTGTGATCCAAAAAAACTATATAAATTAATATATCTAATTTTGAAATTGTAAATTATAGTAGTTGGAATGGTATGAGTATCCATACATTATGTTTGGGTCACAGCTTTAAACTACTAAAACATTAACTTTTTTATGCATTTTTTCTTGCGCCATATAACATAACTTTTTTAAACATCAACTTTTTTATGCATTTTTTATTGCACCATATAGCATAACTTTTTTTAACATCAACTTTTTTACGTCTTTTTTTTTTTTGCGCCACATATCATCAACTTTTTTCAAGGTTTTTTTTACGCCGCATATATATGCCTCCAGAGGTTGCGCCATATAACATAACTTTTTTAAACATCAACTTTTTTTATACATTTTTTATTGCACCATATAGCATAACTTTTTTTAACATCAACTTTTTTAGCATAACTTTTTTTAACATCAACTTTTTTATGTCTTTTTTTTTTTTTTTGCACCATATATCATCAACTTTTTTAAAGGTTTTTTTACGCCACATATATATGCCTCCAAAGGGGTAAGAAATCCGTAAAAAATGGAGATGTGACCCGATGGCCGTGATTTTTTATTGGCGACCCTTAAATATCATTATGGAATTATTGGAGTGGTCGTTGGTTGACTATTTATGGGAGAGCATGAGGAGCGGCCGTTTGCAAAGGATTCTATCCATCGCTCGATGGGAATTGTACTTTGAGCCAGCCCACGCGGCTCGTCCGCCGCGGGGCTTAGCCAACGACATGTGCCTCTGGGGGGCTGGATGGCCCCTATTGCGGGTCGGCAAACGAGCAACGAACACGCGCTTCACTTCTGGCTCAGATTCTGACTTAGAGGCATTCAGTCATAATCCAGCACACGGTAGCATTCTAAACTTTTATATGCTCAATTGTGCAGTATATGACAGATGGAGTGCTTTGGCGTGAAACTCTAAAAGATTCTGATCTTGACAAGTATAGGTAAGAAATTATTGTTTATCTCAATTTTATGAGCAACTCATTTTTGCTGGATTGGAAGTCTTTAGTTTGATGGTTTTGTTGTAGGGTCATAGTCATGGATGAAGCACATGAAAGATCTTTAAGCACAGATGTGCTGTTTGGGATATTGAAGAAGGTAGTTGCACAGCGTCGTGACTTCAAGCTTATAGTAACATCTGTGGTAACTTTTTTGATACCTCTAGCTTCAAATTTCGATGGTCTAAAGGATCAATAGGTACGCTTTTCATGGTTCATACTCGTACTGGAAATATGAATCAAACGAGCTTTTACCCTTTTGTTCCACACGAGTTTTCTGTTCTCGTTGAGCTCACCTTAAGACACCTGCGTTATCTTTTAACATATGCACGGCCCCAGCCAAACTCCCCATTTGACAATTTCTTTCACCAGGATCGGCCGCCGAAACGGCCTTAGGTCCAAAAAGAGGGGCATAGCCCCGCCTCTGATTCACAGAATAAGTAAAATAACGTTAAAAGTAGTGGTATTTCACCGTCGCCTTTCGGCTCCCACTTATCCTACACCTCTTAAGTTATTTCACAAAGTCGGACTAGAGTCAAGCTCAACAGGGCCTTCTTTCCCTGCTGATTCTGCCAAGCCCGTTCCTTTAGCTGTGGTTTCGCTGGATAGTAGACAAGGACAGTGGGAATCTCGTTAATCCATTCATGCGCATCACTAATTAGATGACGAGGTATTTGGCTACCTTAAGAGAGTCATAGTTACTCCCGCCGTTTACTGGCGCTTGGTTAAATTTCTTCACTTTGACATTCAGAGCACTGGGCAGAAATCACATTGTGTGAGCGTCCGTAGGGACCATCGCAATGCTTTGTTTTAATTAAACAGTCGAAATCCCCTTGTTCGTACCAGTTTTGAGTCAACTAGTTGACGCCCAGGGAAGGCCCCCGGAAGGGTCGTTCCTAATCCGTCCCCAGGCCAGCACACGACGACCCTCTCTCACCGCAGGAGCAGCTCAAGCAGTCCGCCGACAGCCGACGGGTTCGGGACTGGAACCTCCGAGCCCAACTCTTAGAGCCAATCCTTTTCTCGAGGTTATGGATCCATTTTGCTGACTTCCCTTGCCTTCATTATTTCATCGACTAGAGGCTATTCACTTTGGAGACCTGATGCAATTATGAGTACGACCGGACGTGGGAGGCACTCGGTCCTCCGAATTTTCATAGGCCATCAGGGGCGCACCGGACACCGCGCGATGTGCGGTGCTCTTCCAGCCGCTGGACCCTACCTCCGACTGAGTCATTTCAGGGTGGGCGGGCTGTTAAACAGAAAAGATAACTCTTCTCGAGGCCCCCGTCGACGTCGTCGGACTCCTAACGTCGCCGTCAACCTTCACGTCCCAGTTCGGGAATTTTAACCCGATTCGCTTTCGAAGCTCGCACAGGAACGCACTGTCGGACGGGCTTCCCCCGTCTCTTAGTATCGACTAACCCATGTGCTAGTGTCATTCACATGGAAACTTTCCCCTCTTCGACCTTCAAAGTTCTCATTTGAATATTTGCTACTACCACCAAGATCTGCACCGACAGTCGCTCTTCCCAGGCTCGCGCCACGGGTTTTGCAGCGATCGCCATGCCTTCCTACCCATCAGGGCCTGGATCTAGCCCGACGGTCGGGTATAGGTCGCACGCTTTAGCGCCATCCATTTTCGAGGCTAGTTGATTCAGCAGGTGAGTTATTACACACTCCTTAGCGAATTTTGACTTCCATGACCATCGTCCTGCTGTCTTAATCCACCAACACCCTTTGTGGGTTCTAGGTTAGCGTGCAGTTGGGCACCGTAATTGGGCTTCCAGTTCATAACGCATCGCCAGTTCTACTTACCAAAAATGGCCCACTTGGAGCTCTCGATTCTATGGTGCGGCTCAGCAAAGCAGTCGTGTCTCCCTACATATTTAAAGTTTGAGAAAAGGTCAAGGGCGTTGAACCCCCAATGCCTCTAATCATTAGCTTGACCCGATAGAACTCGTCCCGAGCTCCAGCTATCCTGAGGGAAACTTCAGAGGGAATTAGCTACTAGGCAGTTCGATTAGTCTTTCCCCGCTATACCCTAATCAGATGAACGATTTGCACGTCAGTGTCGCTGCGGGCCTCCACCAGAGTTTCCTTTGGCTTTGGCCCGCTCAGGCATAGTTCACCATCTTTCGAGTCCCGACAGGCATGCTCTCACTTAAACCCTTCAAAAGATCAAGGTCAGTCGGAGGTGCAACCCACGGGGGGGATCCCGCCAGTCAGCTTCCTTGAGCCTTACGGGTTTACTCGCCTAGGGAGCCCACTGGCTGACGACGGGAGCGCGCAAGTACCGAGGCACGCCTTGAAGGCATATGCTGTGGTCCATGATCGTCGGGACGGCGTCTCCACGGGCGTATCAAAAGCCTGGGCTTGGGCCGCCACAGCGATCCGCATCGGTCCGCGTCGCCAGCCGATCGACAGACCGGTTTGTCGCCGTTCCACATCCGACCGGGACGCATCGCGGGCCCCCATCCGCTTCCCTTCTGACAATTTCAAGCACTCTTTGACTCTCTTTTCAAATTCCTTTTCATCTTTTCCTAACGGTACTTGTTCGCTATTGGTCTCTCGCCTGTATTTAGCCTTGGATGGAATTTACCGCCCGAGATTTGGGCTGCATTCCCAAACAACCCGACTCGCAGACAGCGCCTCATGGTGCGACAGGCTCCGGGCACGACAGGGCTCTCACCCTCTCCGGCGCCCACTTCCAGGGGACCTAGGCCCGGTCCGTCGCTGAGGACGCTTCTCTAGACTACAATTCAGACGCCGAGGGCGTCCGATTCTCAAGCTGGGCATTTCTTGTTTCGCTCGCCGTTCCTAGGGGAATCCTGGTAAGTTTCTTTTCCTCCGCTTATTGATATGCTTAAACTCATCGAGTAATCCCGCTTGACCTGGGGTAGCGATGGTAGTGCGCCCTTACCGACGCATTTGGGTCTCACTGTTCTAAGGCATGCGTCCGCACAGGGCCGTGTCCGAGAGTCTTGCAACCAACGATTGTCATGGCATTCGCCGCCAGGGACTAGGCTTTTGGGCCAACCGCAGGCGACCGGCACACGGGAGGCTAGAATTCACCCCCTCACACGGTGGGAGCGATGTTGTGTTATTCCCAGGAAGATGTTCCCTCGGCCAAAAGGCTGCGGGCAACTTGTGTTCAAAGACTCGATGGTTCGTGAGATTCTGCAATTCACACCAAGTATTGCATTTCGCTGCGTTCTTCATCGATGCGAGAGCCGAGATATCTGTTGTTGAGAGTTGTCTTGGTTATAGATAGAGGACAATGCATCCCTACGGCTGCCCGTTTCCGAGGCCGATGGGCGCATGCTCTTCTCGTTTCATGTTTCCTTGGCTCGTTCTATGCCGGGGTTGGTTGGTGGACTGGGTTGAGCGTGCGGGAAGGGCCGAGGCAAATCCTGATAGCCCCCAATGCAGTCTTTTGGCTCGTACGGGGGTCGAAGCGCCTGAGCTCGCCCTTGCGTAGATAGACGCGTTCGCGGGACGTTCCATTGTACAAGTTTCGACAATGATCCTTCCACAAGTTCACCTACGGAAACCTTGTTACGACTTCTCCTTCCTCTAAATGATAAAGTTCGGTGGACTTCTCGCGACGTGGGAAGCAGTGGGAAGTTCAGTTGATGTTGGCAGGTGATGGAGGTCCATCTAGCCTAGCCTTACAAGCTGTCCTAGACATGGGCCTTGGCCTTGATTCCATTAGTGAAGTTAATAAAGACAGTCCAAGTGAAGATGGGCTTGGTAGGTGGGAGTGACATGTTCAATCTGAAGCTTACAGCTCCTTTAGGGCCCATTGGGGTTCGCTTCAAACCACATCTTTGAAGACAATAATCAAGGAGCACTTGGTTGATCATGTGACTAATGAAATTCTAGCTCATTTGTGTTCGTTTTCAAACTTAGTTACGGTTGTTTCTTTTTCTTTTGAATTGTGCCTTTGAATGAGTATTTCAAACTAGTTAAGGGTGTCCCTGTTGAATAAGTTTTAACCTAGTTAGGTGTATCTTTGAATGTGTTGTTTTCAACCTAGTTAGGTATCCTTTGAAATTGTGTCTTTGAACAACACATTCAAAGGGAGTTTATGACTATCTCTTGTTTCCCTATATAAAGGGATTTTGTGTATTTTGAAAGGGAGATTTGGAATAACAAGAAAGTGCTAATCACATTTGGGTTTTATTAGTTTCCAAAAACTATTGGGTTTTGTTTGTTTCCAAAAACAATCATCTATCTTTTTTCATTTTAATCTTCACCATTAACTATCTTAGCCTTCCATCACATTTTGAATCAAGTTACTGTAGCACGGATGCTTCTGAGTTCCTGTTTCTGAGTTCCTGTAGCAAGTTACTGTGCACTCGGTTTCTCTATCAAACACAAGTCCCTTCCACCACGCCAATAGCAGTATCAAGATTGGTGGGGCGATTGATTTACCTTGCCCATACAGACCAGAATATTGCTAGCTGTAAGTTTAAGTGAAGTCAGTACATGCATGAAACCTCGGGGTCTCACTTCGAGCAGTGCAATCGCATTTTAAGATATTTACAAAATCAACTTAGTAGAGGACTTTTTATTTCTAAACATGGCCATTTAACAGAAAATTGGACCCTCCCCGAAACACAATAGGCATGTGATGCATAGATGGATGAGAAAGCAAATGTGAGTGTGTGAGTCGCCACCTTGTTTAATTATTTTAGGGTAAACTAGGAAAAAAACCTGAATGACTCCATTTTTAATTAACCTAGTTACTAGATTAATTATCCCAATGATTAAGGCACAATCTACGAAATCGAGGTGGATCCCGAGACTATGTCATGCTGATAAACTAACCGATGAATGAGTGTTTTGCAAGGGTGAATGATGGATCAATGAAATGTTTAAGTGATTTCGACTTGCCACCCGGGGTGAAATCCCGAACGTGCCTACGTACTTCCATTTGAATGGAAGATCAAAGTCAACCAAAGTCACGTAGTTCGATAGGCCTCTTTTAGAGGGCTTTGAATGATAGCCTTAATGCATGGGTGTGTGGTATGCTTAGTGCATGAATTTTGTGTATGCTTTGTGCATTTTGTGTGGGCTTTGAAGGTGTATGCTTAATGCATGAGTGTGTATGCTTTGTGCATGAGTGTGTATGCTTTGTGCATGAGTGCGTATGCTTTGTGCATGAGTGCGTATGCTTTGTGCATAAGTGTGTATGCTTTGTGCATAAGTGCGTATGCTTTGTGCATTTTGTTTAGGTATTCTGCCAAAGATTGATTGATTTTTAGGCATGTTGCCAAAAATGTTGATTTTAATGGCTTTTAGCTGATTTGATTTAGGCAATAGTTGCCAAAATGTGCGATTTAGGCGATTGTCGCCAAAATGCTTGATTTTAAGGCCTTTGGCCAAAATGTGTTGTTTTAGGCAAATGTTACCAAAAACGTGCGATTTAGGCGATTGTCGCCAAAATGGTTGATTTTAGGGGTTTTAAACCGAAAATGGTTGATTTTAAGGCATTTTGCCAAAAAATGTCGATTTTACGCGATTTGTCGCTAAAATGGTTGATTTTACAATTTTAAACGGAAAATGGTTGATTTTAAGGCATTTTGCCAAAAGATTGATTTTAAGCGATTTGTCGCTAAAAAAAATGGTTAACCTCATTTATAAGCAATTTGTTTGCTAAAAATCGATTAGACCGTAGGCAATTAGTTGCCAAAATTGATTGATTAAATGTAGGCAATTTTGTTACCAAAAAACGTGATTAAATGAGGCCGTTAGCCACAATTATTGATTAATTGGACTTTTAGGCGAGATTGTTCGAAATAAAGGCAATCGAACAATAGTTATTAATTAACTAGGCTCTTTAACCAATATTGTCGGATTTAAGCTTAACTACCACGGTTATTAATTAACCGGGCGTTAAACTTAATCATGTTTTATTAAATTATTAGGAGTAGAAGAGAAGTATACATGAAGTGCTAAAATTAAATAGGCAGAGTTTCGTTTACGTACCTGATGATTTAATCGAAGACCGCTTCTTAACTCCAGATTAAGCTCCTTGCTTGGGTATATTAGTTAATTTTAATTTTAATTTTATTTAATTTTAGTGGTCAAATATCATAATAAAAATGCAATAAAAATTAAATTAAAATGCGAAAAGCGGTAAAGAAGGATGCAAAGAGCGTGAGAGAGAGAAGGTTTCGTCTATCAAAACAGACAGGAGTGCCAAAGCTGGGCGGCAGGTGTCGCCCAGAGGGGTGGGGGGCCAGGCCCCGCCCGCGCGGGGTGACAGGCCCCGCGCGCGCTGGGCGGCAGGCCTTGCCCAGGAAGTTACTATAGAAAAGTCAAATTTACTGTAGCAATGTCAAAATTTGAGTATTCACACCATGCACGTTTTCTCTATCAGATTGTACTTCTCCTCTATAGGCAGTAGTTTCTTGCTAATGTAGTAGATTGCCTTTTCTACTCCAGCGGCGCGCCAAGCTGGCGGCAGGTGCCGCCCATGGCGTGGGGGGGGCCAGGCCCCGCCTGCGCGGGGCGACAGGCCCCGCGCTGCTGGGCGGGCACGCCCTCGCCCGCGCGGGGCGACAGGGCCCCGCGGTGCTGGCGGCACGCCCTCGCCCGCGCGGGGGCCCCGCGACAGGCCCCGCGCGCCGCTGGGCGGTGGGCCCTCGCCCGCGCGGGGCGACAGGCCTCGCCCTCGCACGCTGGGCGGCAGGCCCCGCCGCGCGCGGCTGGCGGCAGGCCCCGCGCTGGCGCGCGGGCGACAGGCCCCGCGCGCGCTGGGCGGCAGGCCCCGGCCCGCGCGCGCGGCAGGCCCCGCCCGCGCGCGCGCAGGCCCCGGCCCGCGCGGGCGCGCTGGGCGGCAGGCCTCGCCCGCGCCGGGCGGCAGGCCTTGCCCAGGAAGTGGGGCGGCTCCTAACTGAGATTTTTCTAAGCCTCTTAAGTTAATTAAAATAAATTAACTAGACCTGTAAACCCAATTGAAATTTCCAAAAACCAAGTGAAAAACTCGAAATCCACATAAAAATGGAGCCAAATCATTGAATTGAGCCAAACCAATTAGAATCGAACCGAAATGGCCTAGAAAATTCCAGAAAAACCCATTTTCTTTTTTCTTTCTTCTTCTCTTCTTCTTCGCTAGCGCCAGGGCAACGCCATTCTTCACCCCTCCCATCCCATTTCTAGCCATCGCTCAATGAGAGCGAGGTGGCGGTCGATTTGTCTAGTGCTGGTGGTCATATTTCCAACCTCCTCTCACGCGAAAAGAGCTTCAGTTGAAGCGAACAGGAGCTGTTTTCCTTGACAGCTCTCGTTCACTAATTTTCGGCGATCCACGCCATTGCCAGTGATTGCAGCATGAAGGAGGGGTGCCGATGGATTCATCTCTCCAACATGATCGTTTCGTCTCCATCAATCACGGCAACAGAGCTCAGATGGTGAAACCTCCATGAACGGAGATGCTAAGATCCTGTCAAGCCCGATTCGTCCATTTGGAGGTCCCATCTCGCTCATTTGACATCGGAAATAGAACCCTTAGCAAAATTCAATTCGAGTGGTGGTGTTGCGTCTCTTTTGAGTTCCCGTAAGTATACGGATCGTAACGTAGTAATAAAAGATCGATCCCACGAGGAACGAGTTGAGTTCACTTGCTACTTTACTCTTAATGATGTGTTTAAACTTGAGGGGGAGTGTTGAAATCTTTGTTATTTAAGTAAATATTGTGTTTCTTGGTTAGCTTTTATTCCTGATTTAGCATTACTTCCTAATATTTGAAACAATTTTTTGTATAATATAGTGGAGTTAGAGGTGAAAAAATATTACACAATTGAAAAGAATAGAAACATATTCTTCCTTTCAATTTCTACAATAATTATTTGTGCGTCAAATTTATTTGATTTTCTAACAATATTCATATTAGTACTTATTAGTATTATTCATTGCTTTTATAAGATTATTAGTCCTTCTATTATTGTAATTATACTTCAGGCCATTATAATTACCTAGTAGATATAATGGCCTAGTTATTATCAAAGAGAACTGTTTTTAACTTGGTGTTGTTTTGGCTATAATTATAATTACAACTAATACTTCCCTTCATTTTCTTATTTATATAGGAGATTACTTCCTATATTGAAACAATTTTTTGTATATATATAGTGGAGTAGAGGTTGAAAAATATAACACAATTGAAAGAAATAGAACATATTCTTCCCTTTAATTTCTACAATAATTATTTGTGGTCAAATCTATTTGTATTCTAACAATATTGCAT